TACGGAGTGGGTTCGCAAGTACGCTAGGACGGCCCTGCGATACTGCTAATTATAACTCGGCAGCGAAACCACCGCGTTGGCTTGCACGCGCGATACGCGCGAGATCGGTGCATATACCGTAGATATACCGTAAGCCGGTGCATATTAGCAACGGGTCGCAAAATGGGCAAAGCGCCGCTGAAAACGCCGGGTTTTCAAAGACACTGCTACCGCTCTTGACTAGCGGCGGTTTCACGCGCGACTACTTTCGTCCGCCCCTTTCTTCTATATCCGCGAACCACGTTCGTCGACGCTAATTAGCGAGCCGGCTTCTAACTCAAGGTGTTTAATTAATGTGTCTTTTAACGACGAGCCGTTGCTCGAAAGTTAACGCGAAAGCTATTGCCTAGCCGTGACACACATCGATTGCCCGTTTAAACGGTATTCGACGAGCGCTGAGAAATGTCGCCGCTCGTTGGCTCGCGGAAGAACGACGAACCAGGAAGCAGTAGTTTGCGGTATTTATTAAGAGCGTGCTGGCACTCGGGCGAAAGACAAACAGGGCGTATCTCGGGGGCACACGAGATACAAGACACCCGGTATCGGAAACATTCATCGCGTACTCTCGAAACGTGCGCGATATCATGGATAGGTGTAAGTACCGGCACGGGCGTGTAATGTGCCGACACGCTCCTTCTACACAGTACTTAGAAGTTGAGTTCAAACTTCAGCAGCATGTAGTACTCGTTGAAACGCACAAGACAGCCTCGATAAACGTGGATCCAAATATCGTTAGTTTCAGAGTTTCAATAGATATGCAGCGTGCAAACACGTATTAAGTGTGTTTCGCGTTTGCCAAAAGATCGTCGGCGCTCTCGTTCGCGTCCGACATTCGTCAAGCGCCAAGTAGATGTTTGCCGCGCTTTGGATAAACGAATAAAGTCGTGTGCAACGTCGAAACGCGCGAACATTATGCGTTCGAGCACTTGAAGCGCGTGCGCTCGGAACGCGCACTCGACTTGTTTGAAAAAAAACGCTGGCAGCACTTTGTCTTTACTACTGCTCGCTGCGTGAACTGTAGATCTAAAGTTTCGAGGTCCTCTTGAGACGCGTGCCAGCCCATTCTCGGAAAGCTTCGGTTGCGAAATAGTCGTTCTCCGGTGATCGTTCGCCAGTAGTGCTACTGTTAGGTAGTGGTTCGACGAAAAGGGACGGGGAACGAAGCGACTTCTCCGCCCTTAGATGGTTGGCGAGAACTCAAGAGACTTCGTCTTCGAGGAGTGCTCCTTTGGCAAAGAGACAAGAGCGCGAGATAACCGAGCACCCCGATGCTATATGGCGATGCAAACGATGTAACGCGTTATGGAGTATCGACCTGTTGGCACCCCTGCCTCTGCAGCTGCGGTGCGTCTCTATCTTTAGCTCGGACCGGCCCATCGTATGGGACTCTTCCATAACCATGGTGGCTGCTCCTTTTCCCTTTCTCTCTCTCACTCTCTCTCTCTCTTTCTCTTTCCTAACGTGCTTGTCTGCATACAGCGCGCGCATCATTCTTTGCTCCTGTAAAGACGCCACTCCGCACCCTGCTGTCCTTCCATCGTGAAAGACCGGGAGAGAAATACGTTTGACAAAGAGGAAGGAACTAGTGTCTCGTCCCTCTTTGAAGTGCTGGTTGCAACGAATCAATCGAAATCTCTGTCTCGAGTCATCGTGACGTCTCCGAGACTAAATTAGCCTGGAGCGATTCGAGAAGAAAACGCTTTCGATTCGCTAGACCGGTTCTCGCCGAGAGACACCTGTCGCGAACTCGACCGCGCTCGAAGAGAGACGAGCGGCTCGGCACAAAATGGGAAACAGAGAAGGGAAACGGTAAGAAGCCAGGTAAGAGAAAGACAAGAAATAATCGTGCCACCATTCGATCGGTGCAGTTATCCCGAATTCCTTCCTTTCTTTTCGTTAATCACGGTGCACCTCCATCCATTCGAGCACCTGCTCTCCCTGAAAATCATCGGCCGAGAGATACGCGTCCAGGACGATGAAAAATAATTAGATGTAATTGCATGTTACATGCGCGTTGCAGCTCCGTTCGGGCTCTTACGGTTAGGGTTAAGAAATCGACGATGCGAAACGCAGCGAATATCTCGGGGAGTATTATTTCGAAAGTACCCACACGCGAAGTAGCGCCAACTCGGAGAGTATACGGTTGAGTTAACGCATTGGAATGTCGAACAGAGAGGCAAGGGTTCGCGGGAATAAAAAAAAGGATCCCGCCCTTTTTCTTCCTTTTCTATTCCTCGAAGAAAGCGCGCAGTGCACCGTGACATAATCGATAAGAAGCTTTTTCCGCAGCGAGACTGTATCGCGATCTCTCTATTTGCCTATCCGCCTGGTCTCGTCGTTGATACGACAACCGGTTTCCGTGTTTTCGCCGTTTCGTCTCAACGAAGCTGAACACGCCGGAATCCATGATTACGCGGCAAGTAAAGTCATTAACGGAGTCGATGTTGAATCGACCGCGAGGAAACAATTTGTTCGAAGTAGTAATCACCTTGCTGGCTCTCTCTATGGCTGTCTGTTCGCGCATCCAACTCGTTTCCTTTTGCTCTTTTCTCCTAGAGCGGAGCACCGTGTGCGGCGTGTGCTGTGTTTGCTTTTACTGGTTCGCGTATGCGCCACGGACAATGGATCGGCTTTTCCTTCGATAGCCGGCGACATATCAAACCCACGGGTTTCTCCGGTGAATGGGGACCGCAGGGCCTACCGTTTGTGATACTCCGCGCTAGAAATCGTTGTAACATATAGCCGGAGGCTGTGCGTAATTTTCCTTGCCGTCGGATGCATTTATATTAGTTTTAGCAATGGCTGACATAGATTCGAACAACGTAGGACACGGTTCATCGAATCCCTCGTCGCGACACGAACTGACCTGGGGTCCTTAATGAAGTTACGTCCCCTTCTGTCATCGTACGGAATATCTCGTCGTAAGACGGCCTCGACACGAACCGTTCGGTTCGATAATACCCCGGTGAAACTGTAACGGGTATGAAAGTTCCCTTCCATTGGACGATCGTCCCTCGAGCATCAAAGAACACCGAACGAAATTGCCTCGTTCCCTTCGTTCGGTGAAAAATTACCATCGAAAACCGATAAGCCCCACTCGGTGCTACTGGCAAAGCCCGTGCAACGACGAGGCGCCACGATTATCATTTGTTCCTTCGCAACAGCAGAATAATCACGACACGGTCTTGATTAAAACACGCATCAGTGACGCCAGGCGAATTTTCCTTTTGCGAAACTCATCGTTTGCATACCAATGGGTTTGGAAACTAATGAGAACGCTTTTCTTAGAGAAGCAATTTTTCACCCGAAGGAATTTCGTAAACGAATATTACTCTGTTGACTGTCGCCAAGAAATAATTTGGGTCGATGCTACATCGATGGAAATGAAATACGTTTATATCAAAGTAGTATATGCGAAAAGTATGAACGATTGAGATCCACGTCGAATTTCATTTTCTTGCAAGTTGGTAAATTTTGTAATCTGTATCGTCGTTGATTCGCGATCGTCTCGCGTGATTGTATATACATATTTCTATATATACTTTCTATTTGTTGCCATTGTCGTCGAATGTAATATACGCGTACGACGAACGATATGATGAAGCTGACTTACCCTCGAAAGGTGTAATCCTCGCTGATAAGGATATCTCTATGTCGCATATTTTTTCCACACCGAATACCTGTATCGGTCGTGGAAACATTATCACGGTTAAACGCAAACATTCCTAGCGGCGAGTAATCGTGTTATCTTCCGATTTACGTCGCGAGTCGTATTTAGAATCGAATCGGGGTCAGGGGGATCGATCGATTTCTATATTTGCAAAAGTATCCTCCAGGCGACGCGAAACTCACGATCCTTGGTCGTTAACAACAATATTGATAGTCTGAAAAGTTGGAATATATACTCTTATGCTTCTGCGCACGTAACTCCTCGTGGTGTGCCGGTGATATCAACGAATATCGAATGCACGATTATCGCGGTAACAGGAAACATCGGGTGTGTCGCGATAACTTCTCATCGCGAACTTTTTACTTATGCACAATCTTGTACGATGCATTTGTTTAATCGGTTGTTTTCTAATAGGAATATCAGGATTTATGGAAACTTGTCATTCACAGGAGCTGTCGGCGTCCAAAAACGACGTCTGATATAAATCATAACCTACCGCGGTGATGCATTTATATTAGATAAAGCTACATGTGTCTCTTCAGCAAGTAAGATGAAATGAATTTACCTGAATGAATGAATATGCAGATACCTCGCCCCTTTTTCGTGTTTCTAACTTGTACACTTACTTCTTTTATCAGTCGAAGATTAAAACGATGATATCAACGCTACGAAATCGTAATCACGGTGCATTGCACCGTCAATACAGATGCATTTGTATTATGTAACACTATTTCACGTTAGTCATTAGACTAGATAATTACGAAAAGACTACTATATCGTTCTCCAAAAGACGCTGTCTATGCGCGTTCTTCTGTTTTCTCTTTCCAAGCTAATATGTAGGATTAAATTGTTTCAAGCCTGTTTTCTGAGAAATAACGAATGAAAAATGATACATAAAGCTCTGCAGTTGAATAAAACATCCAATTGTAATGTGGAAAGTGTATGCGTTAGCAGGGTAACATTCGGCGACACATACGTGCCGCAGTGTGATATAAACACGAGAGTTCGAGGTTAACTCTGGCAGAATGTACAACTTTTATCGAATCAGACGCAAAACATTTACTAATATATCTTCATCTTCTTTCTAGTTGTTATAAACCAGAACAACATTAGGAAACAAATTTTTTCAAGATAGTTCCTACAACGTAGTAAAAACACTTCGAAAATATTTGTAGTATCTTTTCATAGAGCGTACATTTTATTTTTGGGTTTATATTTATCTTCGTGCAAACGTCAGTTTCAATAAAGAAAGGAAAATTGATGATAGAGCAAAATGCTGAAAAAAACTCACCGGCAATAACCGTATCCTGAAGATTATACTTGCTAGAACCCGTTTTCCCAACTTTTGGAAAGTCCTTAAGTTTTCGTCCGCTAAGCTTGAGTTCACCGCTCAAGTGTGCTTCCTCCAGGATTCGCTCGAGACTTCTGGTGAGCTGCTTTTGTATGTGGCCGCTCATGTTCGACGCGACCATCGCCATATTACATTTTTCGGGCACGTATACGCGAAAGCACAGTAGTGAATATCTTCCCTGGCGTACCAGCCACTCGTCTTTTAAACGGCGAGGCAAGATGGTCCAAAAACTCGACACCCACCAACTTCTCCCGATACTTGCTCCTGCACTACTGATCACAGCTTAGCAAAGCGCATGGATGCAAACGATTCAAGCGCCCTCGTTTAGACGCCATCTTAAGGGGAACATTCAAGATACACCATTCGATTTCGTTCGAGAATCGCAATTGCAATCGATTTTTTAAACTTTGATAATTTATTCAATAGTTGATAGTTTATTGCATTGCGTTTAATCGTATTGTAATTATTTAATTTGTATAACGCTTTAATGTAAGATATTTGTCGTGATAAATACGAAGTGTACAAAGTGTGCAAAAAGTGAGAAAATGAAATATTTGGGACCCAACATAAGCAATGACCTGAAAATTAGTGTTCAATGTACCTACTGTTGAAAGAAACAGGCAAAATGAAACAAGTGTTTAGGTATATTTTGATATTTTCTAATAAAATCATTTTAATTCTAAAATTTTTCAAAATTGTTTAAGCATAATTCCTTACATTCCAATTAAATGTACATAACATCTGTTCAGACTTATAAATATATCTTACATTCATTCATTTTGTTATACATACGTTAACGTATGTTACATGTCTTATATAGACAATCGAAAATGATTCCTAATATGATGAAATTAGACTATTTGTGACTAATTTTGTTTTCGCCGCGTTTCTGGAATTAAATTACTTGCTATTTGATATTCTCTTATTAGTCGTTCTTCCACTTCTTGTAGACAAGGTGTGTATCTTGCATATTCCATGGTAAACTCTCCTTTTCCTTGAGTATTAGATCGTAATTCCCCAATATATCCAAACATATCATTTAATGGAACTTCTGCTTTTAATACAGACCATCCCTCATTGTTGTCCGTATTAATCAGGATACCATGCCGTTTAACTATTTGTGCCATAACCGTTCCCTTCAAACATAACAAAGTTTAAGTTAACATAAAATATAATTTATTATCCCGTAACAAAGGTGTATTTTTACCTGATATTCTATAGGAACCGTTATTTCCACCGACATAACTGGTTCTAAAACTTGCCATGATCCGTTGAGATATGTATCTTTTATTGCACCTTGTCCAGCAAGGAAAAATGCAAGTTCGGAAGAATCCACGCAATGATGCATACCATCTATTAGCCGAAATTTAACACCCGCTACTTTATGACCTGTGAGAAATCCCTTTTCACACATAGTTCTAAATCCTCTTTCTACACCCGGAACAAATTGTTTTGGAACATTTGTCCCAATCGTTTCATCACAAAATAAAAGTTCGGTATTTTTTTCTGGCGGTAGTGGCTAGGAAAATATTATTACAATGTAAATTATCGTATGATATGATTCAGATAAATGAAATTGTTACCTCTAATACACCAATTACTCGAGCGTATTGACCAGCTCCTCCTGATTGCTTTTTATGAAGATAATCGAATTCGATGGGCGCACGTAATGTCTCACGAAACGAAACTTTTGGTTTTCCAAGTATAACAGGACAGTTAAATTCACGTTCAAGTCTTTGAGAATAGATTTCTAGATGTAACTCGCCCATTCCAGAAACCAAAGATTCCTACGACATAGTGTACATTTTAGATTCCCTGAATTCATTTGTAGCAGAATTCTTATTTGTAAATGTATTGCGTAATTTTTAATATTTTACCTTGTTGTCTGGATCATAGTGATACCTTAAAGTAGGATCTTCTTTTGTGAAGCGTGAGATGCCTTTTGCAAAATTTTCTCTATCTTTTGAATTTTTTACTTGAATAGACATAGATACCACAGGCTCAGGTATATAAATAGATTCCATTGACAATTGCAGATCAGGATCATTAACAAATGTATCACCTGACGCACAATCTATTCCGAATAAAGCAAAAATGTCACCTGCATAAACTGTGGTCACATCTTCCATCTGATTTGCGTGAAGTCTTACTAACCTTTGAATTCGAACCTGAAAAATAGTATTTTTATACAAAAGTTTCACAATTTAAATACTGTCATGCTACAAATGAACGAACTTTTTTCTTTGTTCTTGTATTATATAAAGTATCTCCTTTTTTTACCATCCCTTGGTAACAGCGAAAATAAGTTAATTGACCAAATTTACCAGCTTCCAATTTAAATGCTAATCCAATAAAAGGACGCTCATCACTCCTTTCTGAATTCAATAAAATTCGACTAGCTTCCTTTCTATAAGTGACAAATTAATTGTTCCATATCAAAAGAAAGCACTTTAAAAAGCGAAAACTAATATGTGAGAAAATTTACTCATGCTCAAATGCATAGTTTTCTACTTCTCCAGGATTCGGTAAATAGTCCACAACTGCATCTAGTAATGGTTGAACACCTCTATTTTTTAAAGCAGTCCCAACCAGTACTGGCACAAAAGTTCTTCGTATACAACTTCTTCTGATAGCATCTGTTATGTCTTTTTCAAGTATTTGCATTTCGTTTAAATACATTTCTCCAAGTTTTTCATCAACATTGCTCAAGTGTTCAATTAACTCTTGTCTTTTATGTCGTACCTCTGTAGATATGAAATATATGTTTAGTTGATTTAATTAGAATAAATAATGTTCTTATCTGCATTAAAATATCAGTAAATGGGATACCTATGTTTATATAAATATACCTGTTCTCATGTCTGATGGAATTTCATCTTCTCTTATAACTTCACCAAAGTCTCCTTCAAAGTATAAAGCTTTTTGATGAATTAAATCTACTACTCCTCTATTTTTGCTTTCTAAACCAATAGGTAATTGCAGAAATGCAGCATTGAGATTTAATTTTCCTCTTAACTGTTCCAATGTTCTTTTATGATTAGCACCTAATCTGTCCAATTTATTAATAAATGCTAGACGAGGTACATTATACCTTCTCATTTGACGATCTACAGTTATAGTTTGTGATTGGACACCACCTACAGCACATAATACTAATATAGCTCCATCTAGAACACGTAAAGCTCGTTCTACTTCCACTGTAAAATCCACATGACCAGGGGTATCGATAATATTAATATTATGATCTTTCCACAAAGTATAAGTTGCAGCAGATTGAATTGTAATTCCCCTCTGTCTCTCTAATTCCATACTGTCCATTGTCGCTCCAACATTGTCTTTACCTCTCACCTATTAAAAATATTTTATGCGCTTAGATAGGAAAAAGGTTAAGATTAAACTCACTTGTAATTTACCTCATGCATTTTAGCTATTCTTCCAGTATAAAATAGTATACGTTCAGTCAAGGTGGTTTTTCCAGAATCAATGTGTGCTGAAATACCAATATTTCGAATTTTTTCCAAGGGTTTATGTTCTGCATATTTTGCAAATGAGGACAAACACTGCAAACTATTCTATTTAATAGAAAATAAAAGAGATTAATTATATAAATAATTTTGAAATGTTGTCTAACCTATTTTATGTAAGATTGGACTTGTTACCTTTAAAATATGAGAACGAGAACGCAATGATTTTAAATTCATGTTGTACCTTAGAACTGTTATAATAGACATGATAACTAGTTACTTTTCACACTTTAATAAATAAGAATAGTTTAGGATATGCGAAAATTAGTAATAAATGTCTGTTGGAAAGTTAAATAACATCCGAATATAGTCGAACATAACCGAACAAGTTTGAGAGAACCATGCTTTTATCACTTATTAAAATCACTATAAGCATATAATGTGAAATTAAATAAGAAATGAGTCTAGGGAAAATCTTTTTTATTATCTTTCGTAAAATTATATATTCCATTTTTTCTTCACATTGCCATTGGAGTACAATTTATCTTAATATAAATAGTGCACACACACTATAAACGTATGATTGTAATTTTATTAAAAGAAAACATAACAAGCTTGTTTAATTCATATATTAAAATGTTTATATGCTACAAATATTTACATTGAGCTTACGGAAAGTACGAATTTTGTGCTTAGACAATTGTAATTTCCATTTGAATGTAAAGTACATTTTTACATTGCTTTTATTTTATGTAATTATATGCTGTAATGCGCACTTTTATGTATTAACTATAATCTTCCTTTTGTGAAAAACATAAAGGTGTTTAAGGAAAAAAACATGTTGTGCATTAGAATTTATAACATTTTTTCTAATCCTCAGAAATATATGTCATTCAACTTTAAAGATTATATGGATAAGATTTAAATTTAGAAAAAAAGTTCTATATTAAGAACAATTGTCTTATATTGTATATTTTTATAAACAATTGACACCGATTTTCTTGGAATAATTGTGTATAATTCATAAAAATTATAAACATTTAAGATAGCTATGTGCTGACAATGGGGATTATAATGTACACTCACTATGTGTATCAAAATACATTTCTAATGAACTTTTTGCCGCTACTTTGAATGTATGGAACATTAATATTAACATTGATATAAGATTTATGAATAGATATTTGTTATGCAAGAAAAAGATCCTTTAAGCACAAAATATACTTATAAGGACTAAGTAATTAATGTAAATTATTCAATAGCTCCTTTAATGTCTTAATATTATTCGAGTATATTTTGTTGTCTTTTTTTTATTTGTTTTTCCTTCTTTTCTTTAATATTTGAATTTTCATAATGCATTTCCATTAAGAGTATAAAATTTGACTTATCATTACGTATATTTTTCTGTACATACACATATTGAAGCTGAAGTTATAATACAGCCCTGTTTATGCTTATTTCTAAAATCTTTACAAATATGTTAGTACTATATTAGATTAAAAGCAAGTAACATTTTTGGTACTAAATTTAGTCGACGAATGTTTGTCATCGTTGTCGCCAAGATCCATGCCAAATGGTACTGAATTCCAAATAGCTTTATCACTTCGGTCATCTTCCTCGCTTAAAATATTGCACATCATACGATCATCATAAAGAGAAAATC